TTTTATGTTCTCTGTCTCATTCAGGAACTTTTTATATAATGGTCTAGGAACACAGTTTGTTTGCTCTACAATGTCTTTCAAATAGTTCTTCTTATCTTTTAAATTTGTTAGTTTCTTGTATCCATTGTCAAAATGATTTAATATACAATGTATTTGTCTATGTTCTACTTTTCTTTTATTTGGTATTGTTGGTTTATTTGTATCATCATATTTGTCTTTATATTCTTTTTCATACTCATGCATATCATTACAAAATGCACAAGATATATATGGTAAAATGTTATCAGTAATATTACCATCAAATAGTTCATTCAATATTTCCTTTCTTCTACTTCTGTAACTGATACAGTACTTACACTCAAAATCAAAATTAAATGTTTCCATGCTCTAATATATTAAGTCATTTTCCCTTTAAGTAGTTTTTCTAAGGTTTATTAATCTACCATCAACAGTTCATGTCTGTTGTATCGTTTGCTCTTTCCTTCTACAATATAGTATTTATTTAGGTTCATATCTCTGCCTACTTCTTTGACTTCATAAGTTTCGTCACTCCATTGGTTTCTGCTTTCTTTTCTTGACGTATAATTACCTTTACCTTTAGTGAATATTTTTACTTTATCACCTTCCTCTATCTTGGGATATCTTCTCAGATACTTTTCTTTCAGAACGGAGTTTGCTTTAACTTCAACCGAATTCTCATCTTTGTGAGCCTCGTTAGGTACTAAACCTGTTGTTGAATGAACCATGGTTTTATTGTATTTATCCAGTGCAGGTTTCAATAATATTGTCCAAGCCCCTTTAGTATTTAAGGCTCTATCGGTTATCATTTTCTTTATTGTTCTTATGGCTCTCTCTGCTACATTAGCATGTGTCAAAGTTACGACATGCTCTATTCCTTCTCCTTTTAAATAATCTTGTAGTTTCTTATAATTAAAAGCTCCATCATCATCTGAATATATACTGTTAGGAAAACCTAATTCTTTAAAACATTGAATAAAAGCATCGTATACTGTTTCACCATCTCTGTTTTCCATTGGTATGATGCTCATCTTTTTACTGAAATTGTCAATGCATAATAAAGCATATCTTTTATAACTTTCGCTAAAGGTGTTTGTGTCTTTCATTAACGAAATCATATCCATTATATCAACTGAATAGACTGCTCTTGCATAAGGAGGAGAATAACTATTATAATTCTTGTAATTCCTTCTTTGCTTATTCGGTTGCTTCCTGACCCATTCCTTAACATAATTTAAACTAACACTGACACCATCCTTATTAGCTTCTTTGTGAAGATTCTGAACTGAACCGTATCCACGCTCCAGATCATAATATATCTCGCTTAACTTCTCATCAACACTCATAATTAATATTAATTAGATAATATTAATATTAATCATGCAATGATAATTTTATAAGTTTATCTTCTAATTCTTTGTCTTTATTCGCTTGTGTAAGCATTTTACATTTATTTGTTTTCTTGTGCTTAGATAGATTTGTGTTATTTACTAAACAACCACAACCCTCACACATAACAATCTTATGATTTTTCTTGTAATAATCTCTAAAGTATCCGCTTTCCCTGTTCTTCTTGTTGTTTCTATAATTTTCCTCAGTCCGGTCGCGAAGCCTCGCGAGGCTCTGACGAGCGTCACGATTTTCTGATTTATCGCTGTCCGTCGTAAAACCTTGCTCCTCATCTATTGAATTCCATAGCATACTAAACAAATCGTCGTTTATTGAGGTTTTGATTCCATCACAACCTACCAAGTAATTCGTCATAATTTATTTAATAATATGAATATTCTTTTGAGTGGTTTTATTTCTAAAATAAATGCCCTTAAAAGAATATCTCATTATGAGCCTACAGACTGAATACTTGAGCGTCTTGAACTGCTTCTGCTTCTTATGTATTCTATGGTTTCCTGTGAGCGCCTTGAGCTTATTATACTTTGTGGTGGACTTGGTTCATCAACATATTCTATCGTACGATTACTTGGAACTGAACTTTGCACTGATACAGGTGGAGAGGAATGAATGTGTTCACTTAAGGCTTCCTCTTCAATAGGTAATAATGCACTTCTGTTTGAACTTCTGCGAGAACTTGATGATGAAGGCTCATAAGATTTTTTAACATTCATTGGCAAACTATCATCGCTCTCTTCAGTTTGTTGTTTCTCTACAGGCGGTTCACTCTCCTCTTCTTGTTCTATTTGTTGCCTTCTACTTCTCATTTCCTCTCTTTCCTCTGCGAATTCATCTTCTCCAAACATGGCATCGTAAACTCTACGCATTACTGATTTTTTCTGTGGTTGTTCGCGTTCTCGTTCAGTTTCCTTTTCTTTCTCAATACTTTTTATACTTGATACGCTTTCGTCTGTTTGAGTCTGTTTTACTTCTTCTTCTATTGTTTTCATGCTTTCACTTTCTGTTATGCTTGGTGTTTCGTTGAACACATCCGTTTGTGTTCCTTTATCTGGGTTCTCATTCATTAATATTGTTTTCTTATCGTATTTACCTAAATCAAAGTCATCAAAATCAACATCATCTAATAATAAACCTTGTTGTGTTCTTTTCTGCTTCTCTGGTAGTATTCTTAATCTGTGTGTTCTCGCTTCCCTTGCAATTTCTTCGTATGTGGGGCGCAATCTTAACATTTTATATTAATATATTATACTGGTAAAAATGATTTTGCTAATGCTGTTGCTCCTGCCTTTGCTAATGTTTCTACTCCTGCTTTTGCTCCCGCTACTGCTATGTCTCTTAAAGGTGTTGATGATGATGCTGGTTGTGAAGGAACCAATTCTCCTGTTCCACTTGATGATGCCGATTGTTCTACCCTCTTGGATTTTACACGTCTTCGCTCTCTTTTAAACAGTTGTTTTTTACGACGTAATTTAGCGCTGTCAAATTCGGCATTCCATTCGTCTAATTCTTTGTGACCTTCTATGATTGATATTAGGTATTGCTTCTTTTTCTGATCCGTTGGTATTTTATTTAATAAATCCACCATTTCGTCTGTTAATAAGTCTCTAACAAACAACTGAAACATTAACCCTCTATAAGTAACGCTATCATCTTTGAAGACCTTATCAGGGTCAAAACCGTGCGTGTATGCTACCTTTTGTTCTAATGCTGTTACTTCTTCTTCGCTCTCATCATCATTTTCTGTTGGAACATCCATTGAATGAACTTCAACACCTGCTGGTAAAGACTGATGATGAACATCGTCTAAGTCTTCCTTAGCATCTTCTACGTGCCTTCTTTGTTCTGCTAGATCCTTCACTCTTCTCAATGCATCGTCTAAATTCCGAATGTGGTCTGGATACCCCTCGTCTTCACTTTCATATGCTTCTACCGGTGTATCGTATCCACTCGTTGTTGCACTTGTTTGTATTCCTGCTACAGCAGTTGATACGCCATTCATAACACCGTGATGATTCAACTGTGCTCTTCGTAAATCATTCTTAACTTTGTCCTCTTCTTGCTTCTTCAATCCTAAAAAGTCAATGTTATCAAATTGACTTCCGAACTGATTGTTTCTAAATAAGGTAGCACGTCTGTCTATTACCTGTTCTATTGGTGGTCTATTGGGATCACCTTGACTTTCAATCATCCCTATCATTTCATCGTATGTTGGGCGTAGTTTTAATTCTGACTTCAATGTTTTAATCATGTTATATGTAAAGTTAGATGCACATGCATTGAGTTAGGCAGGCCTTGGGTGTGCATGTTTCATTTTGAGGATGCAATGTACCGGCTTGCTACATTTTGGCTTAAGACTTGGCTAGAGCCAAACTGGCAAGCTGGAACATTTCTTTTCTCCCAGGGAAGTGATCCCTGTGTCGGAATGGATGATGAGCCTACAGTCATTCACACAAATTTGCCGACCTTGGCTCCCGCGAACTGGTTGGACTTCCGCGCCTACATGTCTGATCTGGCACGTCAGGGCCGTCAGGATGAGTTGTGGTCCATCTGGAGTCGGGTTGCTGAGATTACACACCTACCGGCACCCTCCCCTTCGATTACAGACTTTGACTTCTTGGGTTCCAAGGTTCCGGTGCGCCGGATTGTCTGTACCCAGGCTGGGTGTGATCGATGCGGGCGAGCCAGAGGTGGTTACCAATTCCCCTTCCTTGGCCCCTGGTCCAAGAGTGCAGCCATCGTGGAGGAGCCTGAGTTGGGGCCAGCGGTGGCCTTTGCCGCCTACGATCGTTGCCGAGAAGTTCTTGCAGAGGACAGGCTGTGGGATGCAAGCTCGGGCTTGGAGCTGCAGGATATGCTCACTGCTACATTTGCGCGCGTGCTCTATCAGGCCGAGATCAACGACCTCCACGGCGCAGCCCATCCCTCTGTGGACGATGTGTTTCGGGCTTGGCGAACCTGGCAGCAGGGACAACGGGCCTGGCGCGATCCACTCTTACTCCCAGAGCCCACGCCCAACCAGGCACGGGCCAATGAAGTGCACAAAGCCCATCGGTCTATGCTGCTTTGGCTACGATGGGCGGCAGACCCCGCGGGCCGGTCTATGCCTGCGGTCTGTGTGGACTGCGGGGGCTCAGGGGATTTCGTGCACCAGATCTTGCAGTCAGCAATGTGCCGTGATTGCTTGCAGGCACGGGTGGCCATGGCGTCACGGCCCCTGTCCGACAGTGGCTCTGGGAGTGAGAGCGACTGAGAGGAGACTTGAGTCGAGTGTGGGGATCCGGGGCGGACCTCCAATTTTGTGGTACCCACAAATGCACATGTGTAATGGGCGGGGAGTGACCCCGCAAGCGCCATTTTCTTGTGAGCGGCAGGGAGTTACCCTGTTTGCATCACTGAAATGCTCAGGTCGTCGCTCGGAGTGGTCAGGCTGGGCGAGTTCGGCGAGGACCCTGGGGAAATTTTGCAGTCTGTGTTCAAGTTCTTTGTTTCGCTGTTCGGGAGCATCTCATGGTCTGAGGGTCCACCTGAGCTTTGGGCTTCAAGCATTGGGCTTAGGGCTGGTCTTGCTTACCATGCCGGGATCTCTCGGGGTCTATGCAGCCGAATCCTTGGCAGCAGACTCTGCGCCTGAAGCAGCATACACGGCCCTTGACGAGTATGCCACCCAGTATGCGTCTCGGTGGCGCACCCAACATGGCTACGCGAATGACACTGACTTCGCATTTGCGTTCGCTAGCTATGAGGAGGCACGCGCTACGGGAGGAACCCTGATTGCAGAAGAGTGGGCAACCATTCGATCTGAGGCATCAGGCTCTCTCTTTGGAGCAGTGGCGTCTGCATTGGATGCGCCGGTGGGTTCGAGCAACCTGGCAGCGCAGGTGGCACGGAGGCCGACTACCTTCCTCAAGAGAGTGGCGGCCAAGGGGCGATTGTTTCGTAGCCGTGCTCATCGAGATCCCCCCCAGGCCCAAAGTCAGGTCAGTCTGGCGGAGGAGTTCGCTGACGAGCTAGCAGAGGCACTGTATCAATTGGGGGCCATGAAGCCGGCTGGGGAAATCACGGCCCAGTTGGAGCAGGAGTGGCGTGCAGCTCTGAGGCGTCGGGCCACGGGGAAGATCCTCGTCACAGAGCGGCCTACACTGAAGGGGGCACTTCTCACTTTCGGCGAACTCCAAGTCCATATGTTTGAACGAGGTCGCCGCTTTCCGCCAGGAGCAGTCGATGTGGACGCCTTTCTCTTTGGTGGGACCAAAGCACAGTCGCGGGCCTTGGCCGGCCTGAAGTGGCTAGCCAAAACGGGCACCTTGGGCCTCGAGTTGGGAGGTTACGACTTCCGCCAGAACCCCCAAAAGGAGCCCAAGCAGGCGGCGGTGCTGGTGCCAACAATGGTACCTATCCTGGAGCAAGCAGTGCAGGACATGTATCAGGCCAACAACCCTCTGTGGCGTGCTCTGGTGGGGCTTTGGTGCTGCATGACGGGGTGTTTGCGGTTTGAACACTTGCGGCGGGCATCCCCTATGCGCCTCTCCAGATCGACCTTCCATTTCCACTGCAGTCGAGGGAAGCAGCGCGGCAATCGTGCAGGCTTCGACTTTGCGGTGCCAGCGGTCTTTTGCTCTGGATGGCCTTGGGCCCGTCTCTGGTTGAAGAGTTGGCAAGCCCTGCCCCAAGGTGCACAGACCTACAGCGGGTTGCCATTCGATGCTGCAGGGGCACCCTTTACCACGGCCCAAGCCATCAAGGTGGCGCAGGACATCTTCACGCCACATGTGGGAGCTGACGTTACCAGCTTAACGTCATACTCGTTTCGGCGTGTAGGGCCGACATACGCCAATTTGGCCGGATGGGCAGCTTCGGATCAACTTGCACTAGGAGATTGGCTAGACACAACCAAGCAGAAGGCCCAGGGAATCACTATGCCACTGCGTTACAGTGGAGCCAGGTATACGACGAGTGTCCGTCGTAAGCACTGGCTGGCAGGCTCCATCGGCGTGCTGACCTCCTTTGCGACATGGGATGAGATTCCAGGTGCCGAGATGGCCAAGGCGGAGTCGACCGGGGCGGCAGTGATGGAAGTGGCTATTCAGAGGGATCTGCATACAGAATGGCAGAGCCCTATTCGCCTCCGGGAGACTAAGCCCCGCTTCAACGTGCCACGTACATTGCCGTTGCCTGACAGAGTCGAGTACATGATGCCAAGGCAGATCAACGGCAAGAGGGTGTCGGCTTCACTTCGTGATGGAGCACGTCTTTGTGTCGAATATCAGAGGGGGAGGTGCAGCGGTCCTTCCCCTTGCCCGGCAGGCCAGCATCGATGCGCGATCCTGGTTCAGTCAGGTCGCGTTTGTGGTGGTTCCCATGCGGCCAAGGAATGCAGGGAGAAGCGCGCGGTGCTTGCTCCTCCATCGCCTGAGCGTGAGGGGACACGCCCCAAGGTGGCCGCGGTGGTCCTGCGGCCACGAGCAGGGGCACCTAAGGCTTCCAAGGAGGAGGCTGCGGCATTGCCGCCTCATCCTAAGAAGGGGCCGCCGCAGCGGCGCGCGCTGGCGAGTGACGCCAGCGACCTTCCGCCACTGAAGCGGCAGCGGGTGGAATCCCCAGCAGTTCCCGTGAGGCCACCGCCTGAAGCCCGCGGCGGATTCCTGCAGAGCCTGTGGGCCCGCCTCCGAGCAGACTCCTACGGCCGCGCACCCCTCCAAAAACCCCGCCGCCGTCATCTCCCAGTTCGACGAGACCTCGAGAGAAGCGCCCTGGGCAGTCAGGGGCTGACACCTGGCCTCGGAGGAGTGGGGCGAGCAATCTGGAGGTGCACTTCGATCGTCTGGCTACAGCGGGTGGCAATTCGGCGCAGCGGCCTACGAAGATCTGGGAAGGAGCGAATGGTGGTATCCTGTGGCTGGCAGGGCTGCCTACGGAGGACACAGCGTCTTCCTTTCCGCGCTGTGACATTCAGCTCAATTGGATGCAGCAGGCGGTGACAGCACGTGGTGGCGTGGCGTTGCCGGGTGCCCTGCAACTCCAGATCAGCATCACTGATTCGACGTCTCGGGACGATCAGTGGCGCGAAGCTTGGCCAGTCATTCGCCAAACCCTCTTCACAGGAGGTAGTGTCCTGGGCCACTGCATGGCTGGCCGCCATCGAGCTGCCACTGGGCAGTCCCTCCTCTTGGCCTTGGTGGACAACATCAGCTTCGAGGAAGCCCAGAGGCGTGTCAGCCGTCTACGTGACGTCGAGATCCACAAGGCAATGGCTCAGGGCACGGTGGCGAAGTGGGTCCGCTACACCCGAAAGAACAGCATGTCGGGCAAGGTTTGGCCATCCCCTCGAGCATTCATCTTCACGGACCGGTCCCAGATTCACTTGGAAGTGGAGCAAGGAGTGCCTCTTTGCAAGCATCGCCAAGGATCCATTGCTAGCCAAAGGCTCAAGGATGTGACCGAGGTTGAGTCCGTGGAGGAAGCCCAGGGCTACGATCGTCCCTTCTGCAAAGACTGCCTCCAGCGGGCAGCAGCGAAGTTCCACCCAAAGTGAGTGTGCAGAGGGGCTGTACATCAATCCCCCGGAGTTACCGGGTGGATAACATGCTGCATTTAAGAGAGACGAATTCCACTCTCTGATAAGGCTCCGGTCGTGACCCTCGCAGGTGCTGAGACGGCATCGTTCTTAGGGCTCCAGGACAAGCGCAGAGCTTGTCGTAGGGAGTGGGGCGTACCCGTCCGACATAGGTTGCCATGCAAAAGATTGTCTGGGGCGCACATGCTAGGGCCTGGGGCGGTGTAGCATGTGGTGTCGGCTGTGAGCCAGCCGTGTCTGCCGTGCAACAGAGTGGCTGTTGTGAGCTAGGGCAGCTAGGCAGTGCATGCGTCCACGACAGTCTTCTTTTAATTTTCTTAAGCCCTCACACCTCCCCCCCCCAGGATTGCACACTGTGTTCGATCTCGCAGGATTTCGCGCAGCTGTCAGCCCAAGGCCCGGCCGATCCTTAGTGCAGGGGTGTGGAGTGACCACGGTTTCGGCCTAGCCATGGCATCTTTTCACTTAGTGCCGAGAGACGGCGCTGATTTTCGTGCTACACTTGTGTCGCTGCAACTCAATTTCGAATTTGCTGATGAAATCCTCGAGGCCCTGGTCAAGGCCAAGCTCAAGAACCTTGAGGAATTCCGGTACTTCTTCGAGTCGGAAGCCGAGATAGGGGTCTGGGTTCAGAGACTCAACTTGGGCGATGTCCAGGGCGTGCAAACCGCACGTTTGAGGCGCACCTGGGCTGCAGTGAAGGTTTTCTTTCAGCATGCTGACGCAGGGAGGACCAAAGTCGGCGAATCAGACTTGGACGATCTCTTGGATGATACAAGCCTGCGTGACATGAAGCAGCAATTCTGGCGCAGGTATCGTACCAGATTCCCCCCCGAGCTCTATCCTTCGGATGCAACACTCTCGCGAGTGACGCGAGAATTAAACAAGCGCCTCCTGTGCGTTTTCTCCGTATGGAAGGTCAAGAGCTTGCAGTTCCAGCTGGTTACTACCAGCAAGAAGAGACGCTTGGGGGACGGCCTGTTCACGGAGGAGACGGAGCAGGAGGAGTCAGTCCCGCACGATTGGGAAAACTACCTCGACCGCCTCCACATCCTCTTGACAGCCTACGCGTTGGCAGGGGTGGATCAGGTGGCGGGAGCGCCCCAGGCCAATCAGGAGCACACGCTTGGAGCGGACTCCACGATCTTTGTCCAGGCTCCACTGGACGTCCTTATGGAGTACTACTACCGCGCCAAGAGGTCGGTGGTTTCGCTACCAGCACACAAGCGGCTGGACTGGCTGCAGCAGAGAGACTCCGAGGAGAGGGCAGTCTGGGTGGCCAAGTTCCGCGAGTCCACCAAGACACTCGGCCAAGTCGTGCGTGAGGTGTTCAATCTCAGAGACGCGCACTGGATCGCCATCCAAAGCGGAGGCCCAGGAGAATCTAGCCACAATCCCACACCGAAGATGCTGGCCGCGGCAACTACCCAGCTACCGAGCAGCCCGCCTAAACTTTCCTCGTTCCAGCTCGGCACCCCGGTAGCGGGCAAGAAGGTGGCCAGAGTCATGAAGGATGGCAAACGTCTGTGCGTCGAGTTCCAGCAAGGACGTTGCAACAAAGGAGCCAAGTGTCCAGATCGGCACATGTGCGGGATTGTCCTTCGAGGCGAGCGAGTCTGTGGTTCAACGAAGCATGGGGCTAAGGACTGCAAGCAGAAAGTGAAGGCCTGATGGGGCCCCGAGGGGGGGGAGGCGACCCCCTCCTCGGGGTCTAGCACGGATTCCGAGGATCCGGAATCGCCGTTGATGGCAGACATCTTTTCCGGTCCCAATGCCCCGCTCACGAAAGCTTTCCTGTTCTGTGGATGGCGCTGCCTGACGTTGGATATTCAACTGGACTCCTCGCATGATCTGGCACACCCCCTTCGGCAGCAGAGCCTCAGGGAGCAGCTCAAGGAGGCCGATTTTGTGTCCGCGGCGTTCGACTGTTCCACCAAAAGCAGAGCGAGGGAGGTGCCGAGGGTGTTCGATGATGGGCGCCGGGGCCCAGGTCCCCTCCGCTCTACTCGACAACCCGAGGGACTGGACGGCCTGTCGCCGGCGGATCAGCACCGCGTCAAGCGTGACAACAATGCCTGTGGCTTCATGCTGCAAGTCATGCAAGAGGTGGCGGAGAGAGGAGCTGGGGCAATGCGAGAGAATCCGGTGAACAGCTTGCATTGGCTACTTCAGCAAGAGGTGGCAGCTTTCCGCACAGGGCTCTGGGCGGATACTCATTATGATGCCTGTTGTTGGGGAGGAGCCCGATGCAAGAGGCAGCGCCTTCGTCACAACATCCCAGAGATATCCTCATGGCCCCCCCTCCAATGCCACCATGTGCATGCCAGTGACGAGTGGCAACCATATCTGCTGAATGGACGATACGTGTACCCCACCAAGGAGGAGGCGGAGTACACAGCGCCATTTGTCTTTGCAGTTGCCGTTTCCGTGTCATGGTGGGCCGTCCGGGTGGGCCGAGCGAAGCTGGCTGTGCCGCGCATGCCGACGCCCTGTTGCGTGGGGCGGCGTGAGGAGTGGCCACTGATGGATCCGAGATCTTTGCGGTCATGGGCGCTGGCACCGCTAGCCATCTCTTTGGGTTTGGGGCCAGCTAGTGCCGAAGAAGCAGCTCGGATCCCACCGAGGAAAGTAGTGGAAGCAGTCATTGGTGCCGATGGGACCCTCCCACGTAACTGCATTTACGTGGGGCCGGGCCATCACCGACATCGGCTGGCGCGCAGTAAATGGGCACCTCCCTTCACGGCGGGTCACGATTGCGCATTCGACGAGTTCCTGCCGCGCTACGTTCAACACATCAGGGACAACTTGAGCGACCACCTCACCGAGTTGATAGGGAAAGTCCTGGTGGTCGATGCCGTGGCAGAACACCCCTCGGAAGGGGATGCTTTGGCGGGCCTTGTCTTTGAGCACTTGTCGACTGTGAGATCCACGTCACAGCCGCAGCAGAGCACCAACCCCAGGGGCCGAGCAAGGAAGGGGAGCCATCGCTTCCCTAGAGCGCTGGGGCTGGCCATAGATCTTTTCCGACTTTATGCGCCAGGAAGACGTGGTCCTCGCAGTCCGCAAGCTCTTTCCGGAAGCATGGATGACCGGGTTCACCTTTCCCTGCATCGAGGACCTTATTAATGCCCCCCCGTTTGATCTTTACAGGCGCTGGCTCCGAGTGTCGGAGCTTGACTGGGCTGGTGCTTGCGGCCCGGCCACTGGTCCCTCCACCGTGCGCATCCTACAGAGAGCGGCGGGGCAGCAGGCAGGAGCACTCAGTCAACGGGCAGCCTTGCCGCCGGTGATCTCGTTTGGCCTGCCAGCTGATGTACACTTCCAACAAGCGCTGGCGCGCATCCGTACACCCATGCCTACGGAACAGGCTCCCGTGCTGGACAATGACCTCCAGTTTGCCGCTGACTTCACGGCTTCGCAGCGAACGAGATTGCGGCAGTGGCGACAAGATGCAATGGGAGCCCTCAGGGAGCTGAAACGACGGTGCGCAGCTTTGGATGCTCACCTTCGAGGGTTTCAGCAACCAGCACTTCGCCGTGTGACGGCGGCGCGAGACGTGGGTCTGGTAGCTATCCTGGTGGTGCTCTTCGCATGGCCAGATACCGCTCTCCCCTTCTCCCTCATAGCAGGTATGCCGGCAGTGGGTTTCGCGCCATGCTATGGCATCTTCCCGCAAATGCCAGCAGACCATATCTCCTACGAGGACGTGCTGGGCGACTGGCGGGCGCACAATGCAAAAATTCTGCAGTCAATTGGACCTTCCAGGGACGACGATTTCCTCTTGTCCCAGTCAACCAAAGATTTTGAGTCTGGCTTTTGCTCCCCTCCACTGACAAAGCAGGCCCTTTTGGCGCAGCTCAAAGGGAAGCCCTTTCGACTCGTACCAAGATGCGTCATCACGCAGTCTTCCGGGAAGAAGCGTATCATTGACAATGCAGACACGGGAGGCCAGTCGGCCTCGTCTCGGGAATCCAACAAGCTTGTGCTCTGCAGCGCGCTGCGACCAGCGCAGCATGCCCAGGCCGTCATTGCCAGGCTGCCCCAGGGTGAGCTGGAGCGGGCTAGGGAGAGTGACTCCCTTGAGTCCGGAGGCGAAGACTGGCCGGATGCTTACAGACATTGCCCTATGTCAGAAGAGGAGGCGTTGTGCTGCCTGGTGGTGTGGTGGCACCGAGAATGGCAGGCCCCGGCATTCCAGATCTACTCCGGCCTCCTTTTCGGCCTGCCTCTTGCAGTCACGTCATTCAATCGGTACAGCAGATTCAGTGAAGCTGCGTCACGTAGAGTGGCGCTCACAGTGACCTCTTCCTACTTTGATGACTTCAATATGGTGGATTGGTCCTCCTCCAAAGGAAGCGGGCAATGGGCAGTCGGAGAGCTCAACAAGTGTCTGGGAACGCCGTTTGCCGAAGAGAAGAGGCAACCCATGGCAGTTCAAGGATCCTTCTTGGGCTTGGACCACGACCTTTCCGAAGCCTTGCAGAGGGGGTTCGTCACCTTTTGGGCGAGAGAACGCCTGTTCACCAAAATGTCCGACCTCATCGAGCAATCCGAGACTGCGTCTTCGCTCAAGGCCGGGCTTGCTGCGAAGATGTTTGGCCTGATGAACTTCTTGGAGCAGGGCATGTATGGACGAGTCGGATGCGGTGGCCTCGCTGCTCTGTGTGACAGGCAGCGCAGCAAAGAATCCGACCTCTCGCCGGACATCCTCCAGACGTTTCAGCTTATTCGCGCACTCCTAAAATTTCGTCCTGAGAGGCGCTTTTGGGTGTCCAACCCACCAGTGCAACGCTTCATAGCTGCGAGTGACGCAGCAGAGGAGAAGCCTCAAGCCGGAACCGGAGGTTTCCTCTTGATTTGGCAGCAAGGTGCGAGCCAGGTCCGAGAGGGTTTTGTCGCGGCATGTCCGGAGGAGCTTTATGCCCTTTGGGGACCGGGCGACAAGAAAATTGCACAGCTGGAGCTCAGCATGGTGCTTTTCGCTCTGGTGGCTCGGCCTGCAAGATTTCGCATGAGGCGCGGAATCTGGTACATCGACAACACTGCGGCATTGATGGCCCTCATCCGTGGGAGGTCCGACGACTCTGATTTGTCCCGCCTGGCGCAGTTGATACATTTGTGTCTCTTTGTCTTCCAAACCTGGATATATTGGGAATGGGTGCCGTCCAAATCCAATTGGAGCGACGCCATTAGCAGGCTGGGAGTCGACGACGAATGGCATCAGTCGCACTCCTTCTCCACTAGTTTAGCTTTCTTCCCATTTCAGCTCTGGGCGTTACCGCTGGAAGCAGCTATCCAGGTGTTCGAGTACTTGTAGTGAAGTGCATTGGGGTGAGTGCCTTGGGAGCGTGAGGGTCACCTGAAGGAATCAGGCGTTTCTGACCCGGCTACCGTGGGACCCGGAAGCGGTCCGGATGTTACCAATGCAATTACCTCCTGTGTGTCAGGAGCTGTTCACTAGAACTCAGATTCGGAATTGCCCACAGCTGTGAAGACAAGAAAATACGGAGTGGATGCGAAGTGCTCGTATTGAGTATATGCTCCTTCGGAATGTGCACATGCATTGAGTTAGGCAGGCCTTGGGTGTGCATGTTTCATTTTGAGGATGCAATGTACCGGCTTGCTACATTTTGGCTTAAGACTTGGCTAGAGCCAAACTGGCAAGCTGGAACATTTCTTTTCTCCCACCCGCCCACCCTGAGACACCGAGCTCCCGTGGAGTCATCCGTGTCTTGGGAAGTACCATCCTTCGGAGGTACAGGGGCTGCATGAGAGTCATGCGTCCCGGGAGCGTGAGGGTCACCTGAAGGAATCAGGCGTTTCTGACCCGGCTACCGTGGGACCCGGAAGCGGTCCGGATGTTACCAATGCAATTACCTCCTGTGTGTCAGGAGCTGTTCACTAGAACTCAGATTCGGAATTGCCCACAGCTGTGAAGACAAGAAAATACGGAGTGGATGCGAAGTGCTCGTATTGAGTATATGCTCCTTCGGAATGTTTTAATTTATTTCTGCCATTATATTTTTTAATTCCTGTTGTTTTTTCATAAGTTCCTCTTTTGTTCTGAACGGCATACTTGGACGCTCTAACTGTCTGTTGATATCATCCAGTTGCCCTTGATATAGACTCTTCTTCTGGTGCTGTAACCAATCGTTACGGAGTCTAACATTTTTGCCTCTGTTCTCTGCTTCTTCTATTCTTAACTTCATGTCTTCAATGTATTTCCTACGAGATGCTACACCAAAGGTATCATCAATGTCATAATAACGTTGAACCTGTGGCATTCTCTTAAACTCTGGTTTGCTCTTAAACATACTCATATTATTAATAATATTTAGATTAAAAAATATTATTAGTAATTATTTATTTAAAGAACTGCAGTGCTTCTTCAGGAAAATCAATAACATACTTGTCAATCTCATTAAACAACATTTTTACAGTGTCTTCATCAAGAAACTCATACTGATTATTGTTTAAATGCTCTTTCAGTTCGTTTAGTGGAGCTACCTGTTTTGCCACAGGTTTTTCAGTTCTAATACACGCTTGTAAAACAACAAATTGCTTCATAAGTTCGTCATTGACATCATAACCCTTAACATTTGTTAAATAATGATAACAATAATTTTCAATTATACAACATTTCTCATCTGTGTCAAATGTTTTCATCTTTAATAATTCATTTCTTACTATTTCTGCCCTTTCAATATTATTCTTCGTACCAGTATATTTATATTAAAACATTTTTGATTTAAAACTGTTTATTTTTTGCATGTGTTCCTCTCTTTTTGCTCTTCTTATTTCGTTATAAGATGCTTCTAATAATTCTCTTGCGGTTGGTTGTCGTGGCGCTTCTTCCATTCTAACAGGCTTTGCTTTAGTTTTAACTTCAATAGGATCGGAATATTGCACAACTTCATTTGTTTTAGGTTGCTCTTGCTTTGAATATTTTGCTTTCATCTCTTCTTCAATTTCTTTCCTTAATTTTTGCTCCACCTTTACCCCATAACTGGCTTTCTGCCTATTTACTGGTAATGTTTCTGTTGGCTGTCCCTTACAGTAATGTGGGTGGGTGTTTCTTAGGCTCTTGGGTAGCATTTTCTTGTTACAAGCCTCGCATTCAACCAGCTCCACAACTTTAACACTTCTGGCTAGTTTCTTTGGTTGTGCTTTAGGTTTTGCTTTAGCAGTTGGTTCTGTTGTTTGTTCAACAGGGGCTGTTGTTGTCTCTTCTTGTTTTATTGGTTCCGTGGGTTGTTCAGGGGTTGTTTCAATAATTTCATTTGCTACTGGTTCGGTGGCTTCTTCGGTTTTAGCCTCTTCAACTGTTTCACTACTCATTATTATAGTCTAGATTTTTCTATTTAGATATTTATTATCCCCTGAAAAATGTTAAGGTAAATGAGCCATTCAAATTTATATTTTGGTTAAGGTGGTCAGATAATCTAAAATTCAATCGGCGGAGCATTTTTCCAGACACATCTATGTAATCTACAACGCTTATCTCATTATCATTAATGACGCCCAAATAAGGCACATTAACAGGTATCTTCTTTATAATACTTGAATTACCTGCCACTGTCAATTGGTTAAAGTTGCTAATTTCGTTGCAATGCAAATAAATGCTTTTGACAGGTGTTAAATCAACGAAATTAGTTGTATAAGGTGCGACATTGGTGTAAGCATCGGTGGCAGGTGTTGTGTTACCCAACACTCTGTTTATTGAACTTAAATTATTAACGTCAACAGGGTCCGAGAAAACATTAGCCACGGGAGCAACTTCACTATCATTTAAGACGACAAAAATAACGGTTGAATAGTTTGATGAAAAGGTGTATTTGTTGGTTGCTGTGTTGTACGTTATTGAATATGTGTTGGTTCTATCGCCTGTATCATAAACTAAATTTAGAGCGATCTCTATTGTTTGCGCTAAATCATTCGCTGTGTAGTTGCCTTCCGGGATTGTTATTTTTCGGTAAGTTATCCCTGCCACGATACCTGGGGGTATGACCTGATGTCTAAAATATAGGTTGTTGTTTGTGCTGTTTATTGAATACCACGAGTGGGGAATGCTCACCTCGTGTATTTGACATAGCATGTTGTCTTCTAACTGGACAGTTTCAGGCAAGTCAATGGTGAAATCGGATGATGTCCCACTCACTTTATAACTGCTATCGATATATACCTTTTTGAATTTCAACATTATATTAATAGTGAGATAAATAAATTTATAAACTATTTTATAATGCACAAACATAAAAGAAGAAATGAAGGAATACCATACGAAGCGCCAAATACAAGAAACAAAATAAGTAACGAAGTTAGGGAAGAATTGGCAGGAACTGAAACCTTTTTAACTGACACACAAGGATTAAGGTTGGCATATGAAAGCCCAGACAGGATGTACAGAAACGGTAGCCAGTTATATATAGCAGGAACAAAGGACCCTGTTGATTTTTACGATGATTTAAAATTACCGTTCTACCAGACGAGAAACACGAAAAGATACAAAGACGTTGATAAATTCATTAAAGACGATGCTATTGAAATTGACGGTAAAAAACATTACGGTATCACTGATATTATTTCACATAGCCTTGGCTCGGCAGTGGGACAACAGATAAATACTGATTATGGTAACATTTTCAGAAGTAGAAGCTATGGATCTCCTTTCATATCAACACAAAGACCAGAAGACACAGGCACTAATCTAAGAATACGAAAGGCAGGAGATCCTGTAAGCGCTTTTGACTCTGGGAGTATAACATTAAATAGGGGAACTTTAAACCCATTACAAAATCATTCCTATCAAGACATAGGAAATGTTCATAATAAGGAAGGTAATGAACCTTTAACGCAAGAAGAATTTCTGGAACAGTTTGAGTAAATAATCTAAATAATATTAATAATGTTTCACTACAAAGCAACGACATACGAGAAGATGGAAAAACAACCAAAAGAGAAGAAATTTAAACAGAACAGTTATGAAGAAATACGTAAGTTGGTTGAAGATAATGAGGGGAATTACGTAGTGAAAGATATTAAGAATAAAAAGAAAAATAATAAGGAAAATTCATATAACTTTAAACTATTTGATTAAATATAATATTAACAATTATATTTAATTAAATTTTCTATCTTAGTTTATATATACAGATGGAAACTTTTTCGCCGGAAGATATCCTAGTTGACAACCTGTCATTTAAATTAGGCACAGGAGCAAGTTACATCACTGACCGAAGAAGCGTAAGATTTTACCCAAGTGGCTCAAATGTATATAAACCAACATCGGGTAATCGTGTATTGAAGTTCTCACTAAATGCAGAAGACAACGGGTGGCTTGACCCACAAAGTGTTCGCGTATTCTTTACAGTTCAAAACTTAGATCAAGGTCTCAACCGCAAATTAAGACCGTTAGCACCTCCTTATTCTTTCTTTAGAAGAATGAGAATCATTGCGGGTAATCAAGTTGTTGAAGACTTTGACAATTACAACCGCGTTCATCAAATGTTTTCTAAATTGATGTCGCAAGGAGCGCGAAAGGATGAAGCAAATGAGGGATTTGGCTATAGGTATGACGATGAAGTTAAGACACTGGTAAATAATGTAGGAACCGAGTTAAACTATGAAGTGAATGCCGTTAATTGCCCAGGCTTTAAAAATCAAATGACGGTAGGATTCAAACCACTATGTGGCTTGTTCTCACAGTTTAAGTATTTACCATTGAAATATATGGGAAATTTAACGATTGAATTAGAGTTAGTAAATAACGACATTGATTGTATCATCAACCCAGATGACAACACTGAAGCAAACGCAATAGGAGACCGTTTTACAACAGATGTAGCATTACCCGGCGGTAATGCATCAAATACCTCTAAAGTGTTTGAACTTAATAATGCCTTCGTTTCTTGTGATATTTGCACCCTTGATAATAATTTAAACAATGAATATGTCAAGCATCTTTTGGAAGGAAAGGGATTGCCAATTACTTATACAACGTATATCACACAATCACAATCTGTAGCGGGTTATTCTGATATTAGTGTTCCTGTTATTCGTTCTGTTTCCAAATTAGTAGCATCTTTTATTACCTTTTACAGAACTGACGACCCAAGTTTAGGATATGAATATGCAAATAAGCGTTTCTGCAGATTTTATCACCCTCATCAGTCTCACGATTCAACTGTAGAAGGAATTTATGACATCAATAAAGATTTAGAGTTCCAAATTCAATTGGGCTCTAAACTGTATCCTGAATATCCTTGTAATTCACTAACTCAGTGTTTTTATCATTTAAGAAAAGCCTTGAATCTTCCA